AGCCACACATTGGGAGCGAGGTCAATTAACTGAGTTCATATCTTCCCGTGAGGAGTGAAATGATGTGAAGTATATATGAAATAATTCATATTTGAATTTAAATTTTCCAATTTAAGCCCTGATTTTTTTCAGGCTTCTTCTTTCCAATTGCTTAAATTGGAAAATTTACTGCGATGATCATTCTTCACCTTCCTTTAATGTCATTTACGTTGGGTTAGGCTCAAAGTGACTGCCGTTGTTTGTCTGATCCACCACCTACTACTAACAAGCAAGCAGTCATATTCAAAAAGATTCTTCTATCTAATTGGGCATTGAGGAATTGATTAGATAAAGTTACTATTGCAACTGACTTATCAAGTGTTTTGTGACTGTTCTATCTGGCGTTTTCTCAAACGAACGCTTTATTGTTGACATAATAGAAATAAAGTTTACTGACGTTTCGCGAAATTGATATCTGTTGAACCAATTCTCCTTGAGACACCTCTCAAGAATAGCATGACATCGTCTGAGAAGGAACAACTAACGACGAAGCTAAACAAGATATTGCCTTTTGATTGCAAGCGTTAACTTTCTCAGATTTGACCAAACTGACTGCAGATGAGAGATGCGATTCCAGCAAATGCAGCTCGGACAGAAAGCCGTGGTCTAATTGGGTTTAAACCAGTCGCTTTACACCAAGTCCAAATACCTAGCTATTTATCAACTCGAAGTTAATCAAGATAAATAAGCGGCCACCATACGGTGGTTAATTTATCTTTAAACACTTCCAGTTTATAAATATGGCCGGGCGTTTCACTTGGGCACTGTGCCGGGTGATCTCGCGCGACCACTTGCTAAGGACCTGTCCACACTACGCCGAAGGAATTTGAAAACGGAGGTTTCACTCTCCTGAAAACGCATCAAATGTTTTCAATCCACACTACGCCGGAGGAATTTGAAAACGGAGCTTTCACTCTCCTGAAAACGCATCAAATGTTTTCAGTCCACACTACGCCGGAGGAATTTGAAAACGCAACAATCACCGGTCATTTTGTATTTGTGTTTCACGAAAACTTGGTCAGGGAAATCACATAATCATCGTGACGTCATCGATTTCGAAAAGCTATTCAAATTTCGAAAAGTATTCAAATTTCTCCGGTTTGAAGAGCGTTTTTGAAAAGTTCCGTTTTGGTGACGGATTACTGTGGAGGTTAGGCCTAACAGTAGAAAAAAAAATGCGTTGTCAAATTTTTTCGCCGTACTGTGGACGCTGCCAAAGCTTTTCTCGTAGTTTTATGGCTCACTTTTCTAACAGAATAAACCTTCACATGAAAGACTGAGTTTCGTTTTCCACCAACTTTCTTTTCCTTCCTTTTTTGGAAGCATCAGACGCCAGTTAACGTTGTCACTCTTACCGAGCTCATCCCTGCTCTTTATTGTACGGAATTCGCTTTGTCTGGTCCGTACTATTCCCCGGTATGGCCATCGCGCTTGGTTAAAAAGATATATACATGTATATAAACTGATTGCTATACATGGTTGTCAGTGAATTCGGTTGCGAAAGTCATCTATTTCACCAAGAGACCATGATCTTGATTTCACTAAGTAATTTTGGCTGTTTACTGCTGTTGGTGTCATTGACGCATCAACGATACGATTGTTTTGGTTCTTCTTCCGCCACGCCTTGACCTTTTAGCTGATTCTTGTTTAAACAAGAAAATGAAATGTTCATTTCACTGATGACTGTAATATTACTAGCTAGACAGCCATGCAGAGAAAATAACGATGAATACAGAGCATCACGGGCCAACTGAGGTTGTAGTAAAAATTAACGTAACCTTGTTTTTCTTATTGGCCAACCGGGACATTCTACTCTTTTTTCAAGCTTCCTTGCGTTACTATAGTGTTTCTTTCATTTTAAACACGCCCATCAATTTTCGTAAATTATAGCATTTATGACAATAAAGTGAAATATGCTGTTCTCACTCATTTAAATAAAGTTTAAACAAGTCCTATAAACTTTGAAATTTCACTTTCCACCCCGACTTCACTGGCCTCATCATCGGTCAAATTTCAATCTTTTCTTCTGTCCAAGCCGAGCGAACAAAAGCTTGTGTATTCAAAACAACTACGATTGTGTTATTGACACTATCTACCTTTCCTAGTAAAATGAGCAGCGGTACACTGATAGAGGTGTTTGGTCATATCGTGTTCAGTTTTACACGAGGAGTCACAGAACACTACAACCCACAAGAACCTGAATACACGGCAGAGTCTTTTGGCTACGATCCTCTACAAAGTACAGGTCGAGAATGTATTATCATCCTGTTGATGAGCTTATTTACCAGGGGTACAGCGACAGAGAAACTGCAAGCTTTAATTTTCCAGCATATGGCGGGCTTGATATCAGGGTAATAAACGCGTGCTCCACAGAAGACAACGAAGAAATGCAGGAAGATCAACGAC